GCGGACTTTCTCCGCGCCGTTTTTCACCGTCGCCGAGGTCGACAGCACACCTGCCAATCCGGACATATTAGACGAGCTGGATGATGTGAGGGACGAGAAAGAGGGCGCGGGCGAGCATCCCCTGGGATCGTCCTCGTGATCGAGATCCATGAAACTCGGTGTCGAGACGGAGGAGTCGGTGAATGAGGATGCGGATGAGAAGGAGGATGAAAAAGAGGACGAGGGCAGTGATGAAGCTGAAAGTACTGAAGAAGAGGAGGACGAAGGTTGGTCCCGGAGGAGCTTCACACGCACGGTGTTCGTCTCCCCTAGCCCGAGGGCCAGCGGCGAGCCAGACCCAGCTTGTGTCGACGGGAGCGCAAAGTCGAACTCAAACTCTGTCGTCGAACCCGTATTTGATCCCGCAGAGGCAGAAGTAGAAGCGGCATCTGATGCGGAAGAAGGATCGGAGACGAGCGACGAAAGGCCGGAGAAATCCCCGGCTGTGTACTCGACCATCTTCCCATCCGACCCAAGGGAATCGCCGCCAAAGATATTCCCCAGTCCGCCTGCGAGAGAGAGCGAGTCGAGGTCGTCGGCGGCGCTCCATCCCCACTTTCTATCCCAGTCCAGTCCCGATCCAGAGCCTGATGCCGAAGATGAAGAGCCACCTCCGAGGAGGGCGTCGAAATCAAAATCGAGCCCTGCGGTGGGCGGGGGACGATGATCGAAAGCAAAGGGGCGCGGGGCGTTTTTCCCTGCAGCCGTGGAGCCGCTGGAGGAGTTGCTGTTGGCTGCAGACGTCTGGGACGTCTGGAGGAGGGAGAGGGAGAGGAGGAGGACCATGAATGCGACGCTGCTGCCGCCGGCGGACTTGTTGGTGTCCGACTTGGCGGGTTTAGTGAGGCTCCATGACGAAGACTGGGAGTCCGCATCGTCGTTGTCATTCTCATCGTCATCCTCGTCCTCGCGCGGCTCGGGCTTGACGGCAGGGGAGGAGGGCTGTGCGCTGGTGAGGAGATCGCGCGTCTGGGTGAGGGCCTGCTCGAGCTGGGAGGCCCGCTGGGCAGAGGCGGCGAGCTCGGAACGGAGCCTGGCGAGCTCGTGCTCGGCGGCTGGGCTGGGACTCGGGTGCAATATCGAGGCAGGGGAGCTGCCAGAGACGAGGGACTGGAGACGGGCGTTTTCCTCCTCAAGCTCCTGCACGCGCCTAAATAAGGGAATATCCGAAAAAGGAACAATGTCAATAAGGAGTGGTAGTAGTACTAGTAAGAAGAGATGAGAACGGACTTTTCCATGAGCTCAAACTCCTCGCGCTTGCGCTGGCGGGAGAGAAAGGCAGCAGCGCGGTTTTTGACGAGGCGGGCCTCGCGCTTGGAGAGGCCGGAGACGTCGGGGGGAATAAAGTCTTTTGTGGAGATGGGCCCCGAGGGCGGTGCGCGCGTCTTTTTTGCGGGCTGGGGCGGCGGCGTGGGGGAGGCAGAGCGCTTGAGGGAGGGCGCGGCGGGGGAGGGGTGGGAGGGGAGGAGGGGGACGACGGTGGGCTGCTGCGGTTGCTGCTGCTGTTGCTGCTGCTGCTGCTGCTGCTCGAAGGAGGGGGGCAGGATGTGTGCGAGGGGCATGCAGTGCTGCTGCTCGTGCGGGAGGGCGACCTTGCGGGCGTGGGGGAGGAAGTCGTCGTCGAGGAAGGGGTAGGGGTCGTGGTGGGCAAAGGGGTCGGGGTGGGCGGGGAAGGCGAGGGCGAGGTGGTCGGCGGGGGCGTCCCAGTTTGCGGGGGAGGGCATGGGGATGTCGAGGTCGAGGGTGGCGGTGTCGATGAGGCTGGAGAGGGAGAGCGAGGGAGAGGGCGGCAACATCGCGCTTCTTATGCAACGAGTGTGGGCGGGTGGGATGTCGATTAGAGGGAGTATACTGGGTGGTGGTGGTGGTGTGCGGAGGAAGAGAAGACGGCTTTGCCATGGCTACCCTGAACCTTGTCGCGGCACTGCTTCGCCTTCTTACCCGTCTCTCCGCTCACGTGCGCCCCCGCTGGGGCCTTGTCGGGCCTTGCACCTCTCTCTCTTGATGTCCCTACTTCTCCCGTTTCTCTGCTGCTCTGTTCTGCGCTGCAAAATCCTCGGTTTCTTTCGCCCCGTATGGCTCTCCACATTAGCCTTTTAAGTGCACCATACATCGGTGCTTTTATCGCATACGTGGTCGCATCTCGGCCAACCATCCTTTCTCCGTCGGTCTCTCTGTTGCAATCCAGTCATCTACCTCTTGGTCAACGCTCGGGCTCGGCTCGGGCCATCTAGTCTTCCCCAAGCACCTACTGTCTTTGCCCTGATCCCGCTCACAATACACCATTCTCGACTCATAAATGCTCTCGATTCCCCGCCCACGCCCTCGTGCGAACGCAGTCCGTGCTTGGTCAATGCGGCCGGCGGAGGCTAGACGCACGCTCTTCCTCGTCTTTGAGTTTTCCCCGCCAAGAAGGCACAGTATTGCATTTCTCCACGCTCTTCCCACCCGACCCCATTGACTTCCCTTCCTATCCCCGATTCTCTCCACCCTCTCAATCGCAACCCTTGCCAATCTAGAAAACGCATCTGATCTATTACACCTTTTGGTTACCCTCTGCGTAATGTGTAATGTCTTGGGAGTCTCCGACCTCACTTTCTGCGTACCTACATACTCTGGAGAAACCCACGCCTTCTGTTCTGCAGGTTTCTACGCTCCATGACGCCAAGTCCATCCTGTCGATGCGGCAAGCATATATGCGCGGTATGTGTAATCTTGTTGTACATGCATATGCTTCCCCACTCGACCAACATCCGACCTAGGGCGCCACAACCCTGACGTGTATTTCGCCACTCTCTTTACACCCTTCTCTGCCCAATCCGTGCCTCAGAACACCGGCTGCCTACGCTTCGTCGGCCCTCGCTCCTTGTCGGCGGACCGGCGGGACCTCTGCCGTCTGCCCCCTCCCGTCTCACCGACTCTCCAGTTCTCCAGCTCTCACTAGCAGCAGTACTGGGGCCCCTCGCTCTCGCCTTCACCCCCAGTCCATCGGTGGTAACTGACGAGGCTTGAAAAAATAACGTTTAGGTCAGGGACCGGCAACCATCGATCTCAGTCCACACATAATATATCCCATCACAGGAATTCGCGCACTTAAGCGTCCCTCTTGGCGTTTTCTATGCGCTCATCCCAGGCTTCAATATTCCAATCTCAATATCTCAGTGCTCTCAGTACTCAATCGCAGAAGGTCGCACTTTCGACTCTGGTTCGGCGAGAATCTCAGAACATACGTTCTTCCTCTGTTGCGACTGAGGTTTCTTCCTTCTTGATATATGATATTTTGATGATTATTTGATATATTGCGAGTTTTGATTTTGTTTTGAGCAGACGTTCGGTCATGTGGACTCCGTCAAGTGCGAAGCGTACCTTGTGTACTCGCTGCTCCGGGCTATAACGGCCTTTAGCCTGCGCTCTAAGCACTATAGTGTCTGACTCGCTTACACGAGCCCGAAGCGCCAACTCCCGGCCCATTCATTCCTTTCCTCCCTTCCTGACTCGACTCCTGTCTCCTGTCCCCCCTCCCTATATCCTGGATTTCTTGGACTGCGTAATACTGCATAATCTGAATCTGTCAGCGTCATTTTGGATTCGCGAGCTCGCGCTTGCTAATGTGCCTACCCTGCGGTTATGGGGGAATGAGAGCGAGTGGGAAAAGTTTACTCAAATATTAATGTCTTCCGACTTTTATTTGGTTGCTACTTTATCTTTGGTCTCCAACGTCCCGTGGGCCGCTACGGTGGTGGGTGCGTCTAGGCTAGGCTCAGAGGTGTGTAACTGTAGCCATACTTGTGCCCGAAGTCCGCTAAAATTCCTAACACTTTCCACGTGTAGGTAGTATCTCGTCATGTACCGGGCGTTGGTTGCACTCAGCACCGAATCTCCGGTGTATATGGATAATGGGCGCGGGTGCCGTCTGGGCTAATATCGTCTGCCGTAATGATCCGCGCATCACCGGCAGTATTAACAGACGTTCAATTGATATCCAGCGCTCGGTGTTCAGCCTCTCAATACAATTCGCTGAAATCAAGTTATACCGTGAAGATACGTTAAGGATCAGTGCGGATTTGGCACCGCGCCGCAGCGCTAAGCAGCGGCGCTCTATGCTGAACATCCGGGATGCCCGAGTTGCAGCCTCCCAGTATGCCTCATTAAACATGCCTACAGGCACCTACCAAATACAGAGTCGCAGTGGCACAGCAGGCCCGATCACCCACACCGATACGTCGCCCTTTTTTTTAAATCTTATCTCAGCACCTCATTTTCATATCCTGATTCACTCCGCGACGGACATGGCATACGTCGATATCATCCACATTAATGTTATGCCGATCGACTACATTAGACTCTACAAACACTGGGATCCTCGCACCGGTGATCATGCATTCATGATCGACCCGCAGCTTCGGCGTCCGCCGTCGACGCATTCCCCCGTCGATCCGTTGAACAATTGCACCAGTTCAGAATCCCCAGCCACTGGGATTAGAGAACTTACATAGTAGAATGTGACGCAACGGGCTTCCCGTGGTTGGCCGCCGGCGACCGGCCAAAAAGCTGATCCACTGTGTATTTTTTTTTAAGCCTATACACAAGTACCTTCATTTCGGCGTCCCCCAGCATACCCGGCGGCTGCGCAACGCTCGTGTGCGCCGCCTTCGTGATCGTCATTCAGAACCAATGGGAGCCAGAGAACTCCGCCGGTCGTGGTCGAAGACTCAGAACGTTCGGTCGGTTGAGGATTGAGTGCGAGTACGAATCTAGCAGAAGAAGAGGCGGAGACGGACTGGAGAAGCGAATAGAGTGAGTACGTAGGGCGCGATGCGGTGGCACACGAGCGAGAGAGGAGCGTTGACGTGTCTCGACTCTCAAACACGCTCGGGCTTCTCCACCTCCGCTCCGAAGTTTCAACAGGAAGGATTAGGTGTTTGATGTTGATAGAGGCTAAATGAGACATGTCTTTATCGACACCGGTGGTGAAACGGTATCATGCTTGCCTTCCATTTGCGACAGCAAGCGGCACGGGTTCGACTCCCGTCCGGTGTATTCATTTTTATCTTTTCCCAGACGCTGTTTTTGTTAAATTTTTGGCTCATGTATCAGATCTCATGTATGTGTTAAACACACAGAATTTACAGCATCCGTTCTACACCACTAAAAGCTTACTGCACCATACCCAACTTGTTTTGAGGTATATTTTTCCGCAGAGTACGATCACGTTCATTCATCTCACAGTGCCAAGCTTTCGATCCCCGGACTTGGTGTAATGAGAATGAGAGTGCCTGGATTCTCCACTCAAAAGAGTCAAATCCACCAGAGCTACGCCGCGGTAATAAGTAAGCAATAGTCAATTTATCGGCATCGCTTCGACTCGCAGAATCTCTTCCGATCCGAAGAAACCACCGAAGAGCCTCCCACAACCCTAAGTCTAAGTGCTTGTCCCTCTTTGAAGTACCGCAAGCTTCGGGCCCTGTGCGCTTCCGTTCTGAAATCTCACCCGCCGCCGGTGTTGGAGCTTCTCTCGCTTCGTCGCACGAGCACGAGCGATGCTATTGGTGAACTCCTGTGCTCGAGTGTTACTGAGTGCCTGGGTGGGCGTGCACGTGCTGGAGTGCGGATATACTCACTGGTAGAGTATGGATTACAGTACCCCGCTACCGGTCCCCCGCTCGAAAAAGATCGCACCGGAATCGAGTAATCTGTACTGGAGCGCTTTCCGTCGTTGAATCGGCTCGATGGAGGAGTCGAGGATCGGGTGTATGGAGATCTAGGCAAACGCCCGGAGCGAGCCGCAACGCGTGGATAAAGATGAACGCAGTGGACAATGAACGGTGAGCGGGGGCCGGGGTTTGGGAATTTGCAATGTGCATAGCGTACCTCTCCGCTTACGGCTCCGCTTCTGCCGCTCTCCAAGGAAGAGATTTCGATATGTGCGTGTGAACGTGCGAGAAGACCGCGAAGGAGGGGTGATGGTTGGCCCGGGAGGTGATCGTGACATAGTGCGATCAAGGACGCGGCGTTCTAAGAGCCCGCAGAAATAGGATGGTATGAGAACTTGCGATCGAGTGGGAATTGGAATAGAATGGAATGGAATAGAGCGAAAAAGAGCTAAGTGTGTAGAGTGGGCGGGGAAATTACCTTTCGACATGATGCGTGAGCCGCGCGGTAGAACCTTATGATCTCGGTAGAAGGGTAGCCGATCCATTCTAATGTGGAGATGTCGTCGATTATGAGCATCACTTGCGCTCCGTGCGTGGGTTCGCCAGAAGTCGAATCAGGAGAGGGGTGGGTCAGTGCTGAACTGATCTGCCCGAAGAGAGGTCTCAATGAGGATTTAGGTGTAAGGTTCTCTGGAGAATCGGAAGGGGATGAATCAAGAGTATAGAGAGCGAGCTGGGGACCCGCATCGATGAACGTCAAGCGACCAGAAGTTGAGAGCTGAGCGAGGTTCAAATTCTACGGCATTGAAATTTGGCGCCCCGTCAAATTGGATAGCAAAACTGGCTCGGAGAAGCAGTCAATCACTCACAGCTTTACTCGCTATTGCCTTCCAATGCGCAAAGCTCCTTGAAACAGAGACGATCACGACGCGAGATTTGTCAATGTCTTTGACATGGGCAGCAAGTGCGCGATGCAAGAGAAATTCTGCGGGCGAGTTGAGCTGATCGGTGATAACGAGCGCGTGTCCCGGAGGTGGGATATATGTCTGGTGCGACTCTGCGCGCGCGCGGAACGTCAGCGACGGTATGAGCGACGAAGGAGCCATCAATCCACGATCCCGCCTTTCTGGATCGCCGTGGTGTTCAGCTTGGGCGATAAATTGGCGGTTACATAAGCATAGTCCTGTGGCCACGCACGTGCGATGACTGGCCACAGTTAGTAGCCGGGACGGGCCGGACTCCAGTATTCTCTCTGTCAAGCGACGCGAAGGAGAGCAGGAAAGTGACACATCAGCGTCAGCAGATCATGGGACATCACCTGAACGCAGCTCCGTCGACTCCACCACGATCACGGCCATGAGCACCTCCGGCGAGCAAGACAACGGCCTCGTTTGCTTCACCAATTGTTTCCTGCCCCTCGAGGACGGCACACTGGTCGAGCGAGACCTGTGGATTGACGCGGAGAAGGGTGTCATTCTTGATGCTCAGGTGTGAACTTTTGTTCTTGAGCAGGCGGACGTGATGATCGCTTATTCTCATGCTCCGTTTTGCGGTAGAGAACGTTTTACACGGGTCGTAGACGCCCTAAGAAAGTTATCGACCTCCAAGGAAATATCTTGAGGTTCGCGTCTTTGCACCACATATGATGCGAGCTGCTGGGCTAGAGCCGAATATTACAGCCCCGGATTTATCGATGTTCAGATCAACGGCGCCTACGGGTTCGACTTTAGTATCTATGACGGAGATGACGACAAGTACGAGGCTGGCTTAAAGATGGTTGCGGAAAGGATTGTTGAAACTGGCGTTACGAGGTATGTTTGAGCTATACCTGAAAAACACCCCCGCCGACCATTCATTTTTGCTACAACAGTCTGCTTCCGACAGTCATCGTGCGTCCATATCCCATTCTCGCACCGAAACAGCTATTTGAACACACGGACATTCCTTGCAGACGCAAGAGCGCTCACTCTATCCCAAACTCCTCTCCCTCCTCCACCCCCACTCTTTCCCATCCTCAGCGAATCTTCTCGGATGGCATGCCGAAGGCCCCTTCCTCCAGGGCTCCAAACGCGGTGCACACGCTCAGTCATTCCTGGTTAACGCACCAGCGGGACTCAAATCTATTGAAGAGGTTTACGGAAAAGACAATCTCGCCGCCGGCGAGGATAACAGCGTCCGAGTCATCACGGCTGCACCTGAGCTCGAAGGCCTCATGGAAAGCATCGGCCCGCTCTCTGAACAGGGCGTCATCTTTTCCATCGGACACAGGTGAGGAAAAGCAGCCACAGTTGCATTATCAGCGGTTGCATCCCAAATTAATCTTTTCGTTCCCAGCACTGCGTCCTCGCGCGTCGCCACTGCGGCAGTCCGCTGCGGCGCGCGCCTAGTTACGCACCTGTTCAATGCAATGCCGCAGCTCCATCATAGGGACCCGTCTATCATAGGGTTGCTCGGTGCCGGCGGACCGCATTCGAGCAGCTTGCCACCGACACCCAGTCATTCTAAGAAGAGCTCGCTATCATTGGTTTCGGGGGCTCTCAGCGCTAAGAGTGTGCGTGGGGGCGGGACGGAGGCACTGACTGAGGGTCCCAGCGCCTTTGGTACGCCAGGTGGAAGTGCCAGTCCGATGGGGGCGAATGCAAAGAGCGATTTGCACGCACAAATCGTGGCGCTTGGAGAGAGCTTGGAGGGACGGGAGGCGTTCCAGAGGCCATACTACGGGATTATCGTGGATGGTATCCACTCGCATCCCAACAGCGTTAGGGTGAGAAACTTCCAGTACATGGCAGCGTAGCACAACTTAACGTGTCTTCAAGCTCGCCTACACGGCCCATCCTGAAGGCTGTATACTCGTTACCGACGGTGAGTCACATTCCCCATTGACGTGACTCTGCATTGGTCCTGATTTCTATTTAGCCATGGCGATGCTCGACCCGCATCTTCCCGATGGGGTGCACGAGTGGCGAGATGGCAAACGCCTGGTCAAAAACGGGGAGAGGCTCTTCATAGAAGGCACCGACACGCTCGCCGGGAGGTTCGTACTCGTCTCTACCTCTAGTGCTGTATTGCTTCCGCCAATTGACTCGCCCACTCCGGCGCTTTTTCCAGCGTGGTTACAATGGACACCTGTGTTCGCAAATTCAAGGTGTTTACTTCGACGTCAATTGGCCAGGCTATCTTGTGCGCGACGTACAATCCGGCCAAGTGTCTTGGCATTGAGAACAAGAAGGGTACGCTGAGGGGGAACGCAGATGCCGACTTTGTAGTGCTGAGTCATGAGGGGAAAGTGTTGAGTACGTGGGTCGCTGGGCGGGAGGTGTGGAAGAAAGCGTGATCGCAGGCGGTTAGGTCGGCGTGCTCACCAGCAAGCACTAGGCTCCTAGTTTCAAGCACCACAGCTCGGAATAGGAAATATATCATGGCCATTAGTTGGATAATCTTACATCGAACCAGCTGCTGGTTAGAAGAGTCCTGCGAACTCCTTCCAGGTCTTCTATCGCTATAGAGTCGCTAGATTAAGAAATATCTCTTCGCTTTTCGGGGCGCTCAGTGCCTAAGTGCTCAATGCCCAACGATAGTTCTCCGAGTATACAGCCGTAATATCACTGCTCAGATAGGTGTAACTACTCTTGGTCCTGACAATCTCTCGTAAGCTTCTTCGCGCGCTCTGAGAGTGGATCATCCACCCGCCAGTGACCCCAGGCGTCGTCGTCCTTTGGTAACACCCAGGTCATGTGATCAAGTTCTCCTGCCATACCCTTGATGCTGTGATGAATCTTGGAAAGGTATTCGTAGCATGCTACCACTCTTTCCGCTCGGTAAAGGTCGAAAGATTCTGCAGTTCTTTGGACAAATATATGATCGGCAGCCTAGAGTGAGCGGTGAGCGGCGAGCGATATGAGACATGCTCTGAACTCCCTGAACGCACCTCAGCTTTGCTTTCTTTTCCACTAGGCCCCCAGTAAGCTTCGTAGATAGTAAGCGTGTGGTCCTCCACGACCGCGCCGTGAAGTACTCTGTCCTTCAAACCTAGGGCCTTGCGCTGCGACTGAGCTGTGGACAGCACAATGGCCAGCCGGCGTTCAACATTGAGTTCGTCTGGATAGCGCGCGACCTCGCAGGCAAACCCGATGAGAGAGGCTATTCCAGGATCTGAGTCGAGGCTCCAGTAGTAACAACGAGTTGCCCAGGTATAGTCGATTCCTTTCTCCCAAGCAGAATCTTGTTCGGCGATATACAGCTCGTCGAGCTTCCTTGCATCTTTGGAATGAAAGGGGATCGTGATTAAGATGTCGACGAGCGCGGAGCCCTCCCAAGCCGTAGGGAATGTTTTAGAGTCCCGCACTGCAATTTTTTGCTGGAGCCTATAAGCGAATCCCAGCGGAT